TTTTCCTCTCAAGGGCCATTTCACATCCTCCGAGGGCTGTGCAAATTATTGGCCTCTGCTTAAAGAAACTAAAATCACAGCCCATTCATTTCGCCTTTCTTTCATGCTGTGCAAAGAAAAAGCCACCTCTTAATCCAGATATCTTTCTGTTTTATTTTCAAAGTTTTTATGTTACACTTTGGAGAGAGTGTGTAAAAGGCGTAAGGACCAAAATGCAGACACTCACTATGACTCGCGCATGCATGCATGTGCACGGTTGTGGCATGGCCACCAAAACAGAAAGATATGGACACTACAGTGCAACATTAAGAGCTCTATGGATACATCTCTCAATACCCATATGAACTGATTTTCTTTTCCCTTTATGGATATTTTACAAATCACTCCCCTTTTTAAACTGTATTCTTGTTTATTAATAACAATTTTTCTTTTTTTTACTGTCATATTGTATTTTATACCTGTTTTTCATTTTTTTTAAACTATAATGATCATATAAAGGTGTGCCTTTACCTCACTAAGCTGAGGTTATCTCTCTCAGTCTGACAGGAGAGAGCTCTCTTCCACCTGGTTGTAGAAAAAGCTCTTTATATTCGTTAGCATAGCTAGCTAACCAGATGCTAATAACAACAATCACCGGTACTGCTCTCTTTCCCTCGCTCGCTCGCTCACACAAAATGCGCTTGTGCCACACACACAGAGCTGAGCTTGAATGACACACAAAGACCCAGAACTAGTTGTACTGTAATGTAGCATATTATTTTCGATGGCGTTATTGACTGTATGATCAGTAGCCTATGTCAGATGAACAGGGCTTACAACTAAAGACACAGCCACGCAAAAACTGCAGCATGTGTACGGCTCCTTAAAGGTAGGTAAGAATGGAGAAACCAGCTTGAGTGCGCTAGAATTTGGAAAGTATCTTCCTTCAGACTTCCTTCCATAGCCCCTCCTCCAACACACACGAACGTGCACATGACCAATGAGGGCATGAGATAAGTTTGTGCACAGATGGAAGGCTGACAGGCAGGTAGGCCATCCAATTATCTACCGCGGGCCGAGGCAGATAATTGGACTTGCTTTTTACAGCACCACGGCTTCCACAGATGAAATATTTGTATGTATTTATTGTCAAAGCATTTAATTGATCCATTGCTATCGGGATGTTAAGAGCATTCCATGGAATATAACAAAAAGGGTTTCTGAAGTGAATTACCTACCCTGCCTTTAAGGTACCTTTAAGGTATGGGTAGGTAAGGTATTCACACCTAATAGTCCGTTTTCAGGTGCGCACCAGTTTGTTACATTCATGGCAGTTTCTTCCTATAGGCGGACTATGCGGGGGCATAGGGCCCCCGCGGCCACTAGGGGGCCCCCAAGCTGAAAGTATTTTTTTTTTCTATTCATCCGAAAAACAAATAAAGTTTAATTCATACACACAAAGATGAACAAAATTAGTATAAACGGGAGGGCTGAAGCATAGCTTCTGGAAAGTAGCCCTCCCGTGCATCATCCTAATACAGCGGCATTATTGCGTCAAAAACGTATAGAAATGAAGGAGTACAAAGAAATAAAGAAAACAGGAGAAAAAATTAAATAAAAGTTAGGGTAGGAAAACAACAAATGCATATATACGAAAACTAGATATAGGGTCATTTTCTGCACATGTCAATAGCAGTTTCAACTATATCTTTTTTTGGAAATTAAAATACTATCTATAAATATATACATAGGTACACATGTACTTGGCAAATTAATAATAATAATAATATATGCATAATTGCATATAAACATTGTGAACACTTATTTTCAAGTGACTTTTTTTACATTCATATGTTCAGGCTGTGGTTTGGAACTGATTTTGAATGTTATTAGGCATTTTGTTTTGGAAAATGTTGTGGATCAGTACTCAGTACTGTTTTAAGCTGTACTATCTCAACACATTTTAATAGATTGAGGTTTTTTTTATATGGGAGTTGTGTGTTCATATTTACCAACACCACAGACTATTCGTAATACTTTTTTTTGGGATGTTATTATTTTTTGTAGATTTGTTGAGTACTGTTTCCCCATATTTCGGAGCAGTAGTAAAGGTAAGGGAGAAATAGACTGTTATAAAGAGTATATTTTCTTCAAGAATGTTCTTAGTATGATACAAAATACTTATGGTTTTTGACAGTTTAGTCTGTACATAATTGATATGGTGCTTCCAATTGAGTTTTTCGTCAACAAGCAATCCTAAAAATTAGACCCTCCAGAAAAACGCCGGCAAAAATCCTTGATTATGCGGGCTAAAATCCTTGATTATGCGATCAAACATGCGGGGGTTTATGTGATTTTATGCGGTGAAATTGCGGGAAGTTGTGAAATATGCGGAAAGTTGCGAAATATGCGTACAAAATAAATATTGGGATGTCTTATTTATTTATTCTCTCTCACACACAACCTGCCACTAACGTTAAACCCCTTTACTATACAATTAAACACATTCAATGTTTATTTATTGTGAAATAAATTGGGCTATTTTAATCACACTCTCTCTCTCTCACACACACACACACACACACACACACACACACACACACACACACACACACACACACACACTTCTCCGCCTCATTCTGTTTTCATTTACTCGTTCGTTATCTGACCAGCTTCAATCTTGTAGGCTTCTCACCTCGTTTCTTGTAGCCCTCGAAAGGGTTTTGGAGGTTGATGCCTCGGTGAACGTGAGTTGTTTGGCTTTCTTGTTCGCAGCAGCAGAAAGCATTTTCGAATGTTTGAATGAATCAAAGTGGGTCGTCACCGTCGATGTTCTCTTATGCTCCAACACACAGTTGCACGGGGTGCAGAATAGTTTCCCCCAACTTTCGTGCAAGACATCGGGGTACTGCTTTGACCGGTCTTTAGCAGAAATATTTGTCGGTAAATGAGATGGATTAGATTTTTTCATCTTGGTGTTTTCTCTCTCGTGTGAGCTCTACACGTTCACTCTAGGTGTTGTTTACCTTCTGTGATGCGCGAGATGATGACTTTGCGTCATCATCATCATCACTTCACGTCAAGACGAGTTAACTTTTTTTTCCCTCAACTTTGTGTGGAAAAATGCGGGGATTATGCGGCCTTTTGATAAATATGCGGCCTTTTAAAAATCTGCGCCATTTTGCTGATTACGCGGTAAATTCTGCGATCGCAGAATCGCGTTTTTCTGGAGGGTCTAAAAAATGTACATGCAACAACTTTTTCTATCTCTGTATTGCAAATCCGTATAATGCAGTCATTTCTACTCTCAGACTTTGTATTGAATAACATGTCATTTGTTTTGGACACATTAAGGGATAATTTAAACTGCAAACCAGTTACATAGTATTTTTAATTCTGCCTTCACAATTTTAACAAGATTGCCAAGATTATGATGAGAGCAGAGAATTCAAAGTTCAGGTTCATTCTCAATATATTTGGGGAGAATTAAAATGAGCCGTCTTTATTTGTAGACAGCCAAGCCCCCTCCTGTGTTCGCAGTGGCGTTTTTATATGTACAAAAGTGGTGGGGCACAAAAACCGTAGATGTCTATATATAAGCTTCTGCAGTGAGGTTCATGGCTGGTGAGGCTCTGACTCTTCAGGTTTACAAATATTATATTTTGACCTAAATCAAAATATAATATTATTTTCAAAACCTTTTTTTGGTCTGATGCTTCGATTAATTTTAAACCGACAGTTCAACAAAAGGATACCCAAAAAAATTAATTGTATCATTTAAATATTGAATTGTTCTCTCTTAGTAAGATCCCATTTTCAATCAAATTGCAGTCTTACCTTGACTTGAAGATGAAGTCCATTTGCCTATCCTTCTGGACAAAAATCTCTATTACTTTTTTGTAAAAGTCCTCCTTATCTTCTTGTAGTTTCAAAAGTCTATCATAAATCTAATCGATAGATTTATGATTAGAAAATTATAAAAGTAGGGTAGACATGTGGATATTATCCGGCTGAACAAAACGTGCATTTATCTAACAGGTACGTTTCCCACAGATCTTATTTTGAGCTATTTTCTAAAATCCTATGGAGAAATATCATTGCTTTTTTGTGGAGGGAAGCCATGCGCAGCTTACTTCCGGGTTTTAGGACGTGTCTCTCGTCTCCTCTTCACACACCACACTTGTCGCGGCACACGTACTTACAGCCAATCAGCTTTGAATTATGTGAGATGACGTATGGTGGGGATGGCAGCTCTATGCCCCTATGGTCATTATTTGTTTGCCATACACATTAAATAGGACAATACTCTGAGCATGCGCACACTGCGCAGTATAGTTTTTATAGTCACCGTTCACTTAGACAGTGAGAGGGAGGGGCAGGATCGGGTTTTATCCCACATGGCTCTAAACAGCTCAATAGGCACACACTGTAGACACTAATTAGAAGAACACAGACTAAAACAGCAATGTACAGACGAATCAGATGATTAACCATGTGCCCCACCTGCCCCTAATGACCAGTCACCACTGTGTGTTCGGTGAAGCATTATATGCTTACAAATCCAATGTAGAATATAAACACGACTAAACTGCAATGATAGCAAAGCTGTGGCTTGGGTTTTTGGGGTAATAGTCCAAATCATCGTTCACTGACAGCCAATGAGTGACGTCTGAGGAAGATGAAAAAAGTAAATTAAACATTGTTGAGAAAATGCTGCATCTCTTGCATTTATTGACATAGAGGATGTCACGATCTGTCTTTATGGTGTTTTGTCTTGTCTTGTTTCATGTTTTATTTTGAAAGGTCTTCACCTCCTGTCTTGCTTGTTTCTGTCTGCGTTGTGTCTTGTTTGGATTTGTCTGTGGTTCCCTGTCGTTAGTTTCCCTGGTGTGTCTGATTACCCGATTGTGTTCACCTGTGGCCCCTGTGTTTTCTCCTCCCTCCTCACCTGTGTCTTGTTTGTGTGATTAGTCTTGTGTGTATTTAAGTTCTGGTTTTTCTGTCTGTCTTTGTCGGTTCGTCTTTTGTCATGACTAGTTCGTCGGTAAGTGTTCTGTTTTGTCTTTGTTGTTCACCTAGCCTTGAAATAAAGGAAGTTTCACTTTAATCTGCATTTGGGTCCTACCTGCTTCACACACCGTGACAGTACGAACCGACCACAAAATGGACCCAGCAGATGATCCATGGGAGGTTGAATTACAGCATTTAACTTTCTATCTGGCTTGTTGCTTCGATTGGTGGAAGGGAGCGTCCAGTGTTCGGCAGAAGAGGGCCGCTCTGGTAGAGGCGCTCCGGTTGGCAGCAGAGAAACCATGTTTTGTTGAGTTCTTACCTGACTGGATTTTGGACTTCCTTCAAGCATGTGATTCCCGGCCTGCTAGCCCCAGGCATGCTAGCTCCCTGTCTCCCAATTCCCAACCTGGCACCATACGCCTTGGTGGGTTCCGCCTGAAGTCAACCCGTGCTTCTGCCCCAGTTCCTGCTCCTGTCCAGGAGTCGTATTCCGGACCTCGTCTGGCTTATGGAGGTCCACGGAGTATTCAGGAGGCTGCTAAGAGGAGTCGTCGCAAGGCCAGGCTAGCAGCCCGAGCCCCAGCAGCCATGGTTCCGGCTCCAGTACAGGCCCCAACAGCCATGGTTCCGGCTCCAGTGCCGGACCCAGCAGCCATACCTCCATGCTCCAGTACCGGCCCACGCAGCTTTGCGTTCATACTGGATTACCTGGCTTACACAGCCAGGGTCCAGGCTTCCGCGCCGGACCCAGCAGCCATGATTCTGGCTTCAATTCCGGCTCCAGAGCCGGCCCATTTAGCCATGTTTCCGGGCTCCAGAACCGGACCTTACAGCCATGTTTCCGGCTCCACAACCAGACCTTACAGCCATGTTTCCGGCTCCAGAACCGGACCTTACAGCCATGAGTCTGGCTTCAATTCCGGCCCCCGCAGCCATGGTTCCGGCCCCAGCAGCCATGGTTCCGGCTTCAGTACCGGCCCCGGAAGCCATGGGCTCGACTCCAGTTTCGGCTACAGGGCTGGCTCCCCAGCCGACGCCAGCTCCCCGAGTCTTGTCGGCGTATCGGCCGACTCCAGCACCTCGTCTTCTGCTGGCTCCCCAGCCGACGCCAGCTCCCCGAGTCTTGTCGGTGTACCGGCCGACTCCAGCACCTCGTCTCCTGCTGGACCCCAGACGACGCCAGCTCCCCATGTCCTGTCGGCGTACCGAACGACACATGTCCCCTCTCCAGTTCCTACCCGAGTCCCCTCTCGAGTTCCCTCTCGATTTCCCTCTCAGGTCCCCTCTAGGGTCCCCTCTCGAGTACCCTCTCTAGTCCCCTCTCCAGTCTCCTCTCAAATCCCTTCTCGAGTCTCCTCTCAAGTCTCCTCTCCAGTTCCCTCTCAGGTCCCCTCTCGAGTCCCCTCTCGAGTCCCCTCTCGAGTCCCCTCTCCAGTTCCCTCTCGAGTTCCCTCTCTAGTCCCTCCTCTAGTCCCTCCTTTAGTCCCAACTCTAGTCCCCTCTAGTCCCTCCTCTAGTTCCCCTCTCGAGTTCCCTTCTCTAGTTCCCCTCGCGAGTCCCCTCTCGAGTTCCCTTCTTGAGTTCCCTTCTCTAGTTCCTCCTCTAGTCCCTCCTCTAGTTCCCCTCTCGAGTCTCCTCTCGAGTCCCCTCTCGAGTTCCCTCTTGGTTCCCCTCTCGAGTCTCCTCTCGAGTCCCCTCTCGAGTCACGTCTCGAGTTCCCCCCTTGGTTCCCCTCTCGAGTCACATCTCAAGTCCCTACCCAATGTCCTGGTCCGTTGGAGGTTCCTGCTGGGGGTCCTGCCAACTCCATGTCCTGTCCCGTTGGAGGCCCCGTCGACTACTCCTCTGCCGAGGGTCCTACCAATCGTATGTCTGTCCCGTTGGAGGTCCCGCCGTCTACTCTCCTGCCGGGGGTCCTGCCAGCTCATTGTCCTGTCTCGTTGGAGGTCCCGCCGACTACTCTCCTGTCGGGGGTGCTGCCAACCCTTTGTCCTGTCTCGTTGGAGGTCCCGCCGTCTACTCTCCTGCCGGGGGTCCTGCCAACCCTTTGTCCTGTCTCGTTGGAGGTCCCGCAGTCTACTCTCCTGCCGGGGGTCCTGCCAATCCCGTGTCCTGGTCCTCTTCCGTGGGGGATCCTGCCGAGGCCTGTCCCACCAGCTCCGACACCGGGTCCTGCCCGGCCTCCGGCACTGTCCCGTCAGCGCCTTCCTGCCCGGCCTCCGGAGCTGTCTGGTCTTCGCCCTCGAGACCGGCCCTCTGAGAGCCGCAGTCTTCACCCTCGAGCCCGGCCCCCTGAGAGCCGCAGTCTTCACCCTCGAGCCCGGCCCCCTGAGAGCCGCGGTCTTCGCCCTCGAGCCCGGCCCCCTGACTCTTCCTGCCGCGGTCCTCGCCCTCGGGCCCGGCCCCCTGACTCTTCCGGCCGCGGTCCTCGCCCTGTTTAGAGTCGGAGAGGTCCTGATAATTTATTCCGGTAAATTACTCTGACCTACTAATTGACCTTTCCGAAGTTATTGAGTCTATGTAAGGTTGCTGCTTGGCTCAGATCCACCAACGTCAGCAAGATCTCACCTCTATAACCCCCCGAAGAACCAGGTTCAATTAACTGCTGTTTCAATTCAGACAACTCTTTTTTAATCTGTTTAAGCGATCCCGAAGGATTTTGATATCAGTAAATGGAGTGTGCTCCTACCTAAGTGTGTGTGGCAGGGTGCAATCTTACCTTTGACGCAGGAGAGGAGGGCACAGGTGTCTTTTAAATTATCCCAATCCAACAGGTGGGATTCAGTTTATTTGAAGAAAAATAGGTCCAAACTAATACAGGGTTTTTACCTTCTCTCTTTACAACATTATAATCATACTAAAAACCTGGTGCTGTGATCATGTTCAAATATGAAACTTTAATTCACAGTCTTACATTTATTACCAAAATGTTTTAATTTCAACTGCCCATTTCAGTTGTGACATTTTAAAATTCTCCCGATAGAATTTAGAGGTATTTCCTCGTAAAAAGACCGGTGACAATAAAAAGCGCATTCAACTTTTTCATTTCACCAACCAATTCACATCAGTTTCATACCGTTTTTTCCGACACAGACGGCGGGTATAACATTTAAAAACCCATACCTATCCGCAATTTCGGAGGGGAGATTTTCCTCACAGATGGCGGTATTTATAATATTCATACACTTTTTCCGACACAGACGGCGGATTAACACTTAAAAACCCATACCTATCCGCAATTTCGGAGGGGAGATTTTCCTCACAGATGGCGGTATTTATAATATTCACAAACACATCTCTCATCAAATCATTCCACTCAGTCAACAACCAAGAAATTCGAGAGATAGTTACCCCGTCTGGCAGAACCTTACCGAGAGCTAGTTACCCAGCTCTGGAGCTTTTTACTCTCAACCCCTGTCTTTATGCACAAAAACCCCGATAGCATTTTCCAAAACGCCTCTTCCACACCCACATCAGGAAAAACTGGGCATGGCTTCTACTGTACAGGGCTAAAACATGACTCGACATGTTCCATAGCTATATGGCATAAGACCCCCTTCTTATGTTAGTGTGAAAAGGACATGAACTCTTTTTGGCCTCTGTGTTTTTCCTTACGCCTGGAGCCCCCCTCCCTGTGTACTGCTGCCAGAGGAGAGAGAGAGAAAAACGGCCTACTCTTTTCAGAGACACCCATATATCATTTTCCCTTACACACTCAACCCAAACAAACCACTTTGTTTTGTTTATACTGTAACTATAGAAAAACCTAAAATATGAAGCATTTTCATTGTGGGTTATACAAGAATATAATTGATTATATTTGATTATAACTAACTTTCGTTTTTAAGTATTAAACATACTATGAAAACTCACAACACCACCCTCCAAGTAACGGTTCCCTGGTTCTACCTCAGATTATTCCGTTCTCCTGTGCATATCCCTTAGAAACCAATATCAGCCTGAATGCTGCAATCCGACCACTGCTGTGAGTCTATAAGTGAAACAACACACTTGACAATCTATTATCATTTCAGGGGGTAAATACATCTCTAATGGTCCTTCTTTCTCTTCCCAAAGCAATGGAGGTGGCCTCATTGGGTCAGGAAACAGAGCCACAGCCTACATGACGCTTTTCCACGACTCCAACTTTTGGTACAGTTACCGATCGGGCCTGGTCACTCTGCCAATGGGTTCTCCCTTGTATGTGGCAGTGTTTGTGCCTGAGAATGATCCAAACTTTGCTGTTGTTCTGGAGGACTGCTATACCACAAACTCCTCAAATCCTCAAGACCACATGCGATACTATCTCATTCATTCCAGGTATGTGTCTTTCTCAGAGGTGGGAAGTCGTGGAGTACAACTACTCTGTACCTAAGTACATTTTTCTGGTATCAGTACTTTACTCCACTACTTTTTCTGATAACTTTTTACTTTGACTTCTTGCATTTTTAACACAAATACCTGTACTTTCTACTTCTCTCATTTTCCAAACAGCTGGTTCCTTTAGTCTGAATGTGTGTTTGGTGGCGTGGTCATTATTCTTTAGAGTCATTGCGTGCCTATTGATTTGAACACGATCCGTGTATCCATCATTTCCTGGTCTTCTCTAAAGAAGAGGGACCAATGGAAACGTTGCCGTTGTTCAGCATGGAAACATTCATTAGCTAACAATGACATTATTGTTCTATGAATATAAAGGGAGGTCAGGTACTCTTTAAAACAGATGGTAGTTATGGGTACTTTTTACTTAAGTACTTTTACTTGAGTAAAGTAGTTTAGTCAGTACTTCTACTTTTACTAGTATTTATTAGTATTTTTAAACACGAGTATCTGTACTTCTACTTGACTAAAGGATGTGTGTACTTTTGCCATCTCTGGTCTTTCCAAAAAGGTACTGAAGTGGAATCTTGGATCCTAATGATTCAGTTTAATCTTTTCCAGGTGTCCCACTGACCCTCGCCATGTGTCAGTGATTGAGAACGGTCAGTCTCTTCGTGCCCGTTTCGCTGCCCTGCTCTTCCCTCTCCACGGTGGAAATCCATACGTCTTCCTTCACTGCACCCTACGTCTGTGTGACAAGAGGACCCAAAACTGTGTTCCCGTGAGTCAGACTCTTATTCAATCACAGTGGCGAGCCGTGACTTTTCTACCTAGACCCTCTGACCCCCCCCCCTTTCCCTCGAAAAAAAAAGAAGAGTTATTACGTCACAGCAGGGGCGGACTGGCCATTGGGAATACCGGGAGTTTCCCCCGGTGGGCCGGTGCTGTGTGTGGGCCGTTTTGATAGGCTACCTTTGTTCTATCTAAAAAAAAACACACATTTGTAAGTGTTCCGGCCCAGCCCAGTGGGGTGTGGCCCGCTGGGCTGGGCCGTTTTGATAGGCTACCTTTGTTCTATCTATGAGTTTCAATTTCACACATCAGGCCCGTAGCAGCTGTCACTGCGCAGTGAACGATCAGGAATGAGTGACTGAGAGACCTAGCTGGCAGTTGCTTACAGATGGCTAAACAAGCTCCAACGCGTAAAGGCGTTTTTGTATAGTTTGTGTATACAGCAGTGACGTGCGGTGAGGTTCATGGCTGGTGAGGCACTGACTCTTTCAGAGTCAGATTTACAAATATCATATTTTGACCATAATCGACATATTCGATTATTTTCAAAAGCTTTTTTAGTCTGATGCTTCGATTCATTTTAAACAGACCGTTCAACAAAAGGATACCCACAATCTAAATATTGGATTGTTCTTTCTTAGTAAGATCCCATTTTCATTACAATTGGGGTCTTACCTTGACTTGAAGATGAAGTCCATGCTTTCCTTCTGGACAACAATCTCTATTACTTTTTTGTAAAAGTCCTCCTTATCTTCCTCTAGTTTCAAAAGTCTAGTTTGTTGTTTGCGTCGCGTCTACCGCCATGGTCTACCCATGGATGTATAATAGAGAGGCGAAGTCCCTCCCCTTCCGAAAGCCTCTATGGGACCCCGGAAGCGGAAAATTATACATTGAAGTCAATGGAGAGAGAAAGGTTATCTTTTGATCCCGTTTGAATTGTGCCACGAATGACACATATGATGTTTGTCAATTTAAAAGAACATTTTGCAAGTCAAAAAAATAAAAATGTGTCGTAAAACTGTGAAGTTACACATTTTTTCGTGTGAAACCGCTCAGTGAACTACAGGTCTCTGGTCTCGCACAATACGCGTCACCAACATAAAGATGGCCGTCACGTTAGCACATTTCACCACATTCTTTCAGAATGAGAATAAAAGTATTTTACGAGGTGAAAATTACTACAAGTCTGGGCACGTTGAGAACTGTACCTATATGAAAGGGGAGTTAGTCGGTTCTGTAAGAGCAGCGGGACCGGCTTTACAAGGTTTCGGTGAGTAATATGAGTGCAATGTGTAACGTTAATGTCAGCTAGCTAACATTAGCTAACAAGGTACACTAACGTGTTTTGTTTTAGCAACTAGTTTTCTCCTTAAGAACTTCGTAGTCTCTGTGTATGCTGTGGATAACATTAGTGTTCACAAGAACAAGGTACACTCCCGTGTTTTGTTTTAGTTGCTCTTCAGATTGAAGCGGCCAATTTTATATCGACTATACTGTATGCGTGATCTCCTTTTTCTCGTTGTGTCATTTGAGTTTATTTGCTGTGTGTAGATTCAAGGATTTTGGTTATCTAGGCACAGCTGTGTGTGACTCCCTCTGGTACACCGGTATGTGTTTTCCTAATGTAGAGAGCATTGATTAATTAATAAACTACACACTGAGTCTAGATCCTGACCAAATCCTTTTTTATTGTTGATCAAATGTTTTTCAAAAATGAATTCATACACATTTAGAAAAATACAATGTACAATCACAACCAATACAGCACAAATTACAAAAAATACAGAAAAAACAAACAATAACAACAGACAAGAGGACAAAACTATGGAAAAATAAACTCTCCCACCCCCAGATCCGGACCATCCTTGTATTATTGCTCATTCAATCTATTATAGCATGCTAACAAATGGTACTTACTTTATTTTTACAGATCTGCATGGGAGACGATGGCGCGATGCAGAGCGCTGTCTGTGATTGTGCACAGGAGATGTACAAATGCAGCCACGCTGCAGCATTGGCAATATTTGCCATGTGGCAGATCAGCTCCACAGATGTTGAGTGCCAGTGGAGGAAGCCTGGCACTTCCAAAGTAGTCCAGCCGGTGTCTCAACTTTACCAACAGCGAGAGGAGACATACAACCCACTGGCCAGAGACATCGCCAACTGTCAACTGGGGGGTTGTAAACGAGGGGTGAAGGCTTTTGTGGAGGCCTATCAAGTGACAGTGTTAGAATCGAGTCTGGTCTCTTTGTGAGTGAGTCGGGTGTTTTGGGAGCATCACCCGATGGTCTTGTGCAGCCATCTGCCCTGCTGGAGGTGAAGTGTCCACACAGCCAGAGGAACATGACCATCGCGGAGGCAGTCCAGTTACCATCCTTCTGTCTCCGTGAGGAGGGTGGGTCATATATTCTCAAGGAGAATCACCCATACTGGCACCAGTCCAAGGGCAGCTGCATATCACAGACCGGAGTCTCTGCTACTTTGTTGTGTGGACCACGAAGGAGGCGATCATCATCCCCATCCCCAAAGACCCTGCATGGCATGGAAATCTCCTCCTCCTGGAACAATTCTACACCCAGCATATGTGTTGGCCAGTAGAGAGGAGGACATTTCAATAAACATATTCTTAACACCCTCGGACTCTGCGTTGTGTTTCGTATGTGTGATGGGGTGTTATGCAGAGGGGAGGAAAACGGGACACAGCAGATTGGGATTGTGGTGGAGATGCTGAGCAGTTATTTAATTGTTGCATGTAATTATTATTATACTGCGTGCTTCTGAGTTATTCCATCTTTTGCTGTAACATGGATCTGTATGTAACTCTATATTTACTTGTTATCTACCACACTTCCTTCTACATCATACACCATCATTATACATGATGGTGTATATAGGATATATATATTTGTATACATATCTGTTAATTGTATAATTTTATTTAAACGTCTTTTTGATCTCTCAAACTGAATAAGATTGACAATAAAGTTGACTTTGAAAAATATATATATTCTTTATGAAAATAGTTGACTGTTATCAAATGAATCCAAATGAAACGTTGGACTGAACTACAACTACGCCTTTAAATCTCTACGGACTGTTTTTCAGTGGGATGGCAAGTTCCTATCTTTAAACATTTATTAGTTTTTTCTCAGAACAGATTTGATTTTCTGAAGGTAATTTAACTTTGCTGACCATGTAAGGTCATTATTAAAAGGTACAATCAATTTGTTTAGGGTTGACTAAAATAATGAAAAACATTCATTTGGATAATTTACTGACAGAATAAGAAACTCAATGATGCTCTACTCACCTGTTCCTTTTTTATAAAGTGAAACAGTTGAAACGATAGATTTTAGTAAACTTAAAAACAACCTTCTCCAAAAGCTATCAAGGAATATACCGAATACTTGTTTTAGAACTTTATTACATATTTTTATATAAATAGTTTGAATGATCCATAATTGACAGAAGCTTGTGTTTACACTGACCTGTTACTCATATATTAATGTCTGTAACCTCAGTAAACCACTACCTCACTCATTTCACTTTCATTCATCACGGTTCAGTAAACTAAGTGATACATGAACCAGTTTAATCATTATAATAACGTAGGATTGCAACTCTTTGAAACTGTAGGTGGCTCTTAAAAGAGCCGTTGTGTTTGGGTGTGCTGGTCTCAGGTCAGTCTAAGCCCTCTCTCCGCGGATGCGGCGGGCCAGCTGGATGTCCTTGGGCATGATGGTGACCCTCTTTGCTTGGTTCATCTTACTGGGGGGCAGCTACATGGATGTCGGTGCAGTCCACAATCATTGCGCAGTTGAAGGCAGAATGAATTTATTATTGACTCCGAATGAAGCACAACTTCATGTCAAACAATACAATGACTTTATTTGTAATTGTGTAAGAAAATATGAGCATTGATTAGCAAGCAGGACCTGCAAGAACAGAGAACGGTGATGGATGGAGTTGGGAAGAGAGAAGAATAAAGAAAACAGATCAACTTTATTATCGGATATTAAAAATTCAATTTCAAAACATGTTGCCGCTCCTACAGTTTTCTAGTATGTAAAGATGATTTCACATGACCTATGCAAAATATCACACTCAATACATGTGTGTCTCTGGGGGGTGCATTGTGCCTTTGATGTATATAAATAATATACCATAACCAAATACTATTACGTACAGTGGAAATCAGGTTGCCAGAGCAGGTCAGTGCATGTTCCTCAACGTCTCAGCAGTTACAGGTGAGGTAAAGAAAATAAAAGAGAAAAAGGTCAGTAACAACACTTTAAAGTAACAACACTTTGAATAATTATCTCTTCTAACAATTGTCTCTCAATAAGCACACAACGACTGTCTTTCCAACAAACAGATTGTCATCACAATGAAACACGTCCAGAAGAATGTCATGCAAAGCTCCCTGCCTGCCTTCGACTCTCCCTGAACTGCTTCCTTAGCACCCGGTGGAGGGCGCAGTAGGCTACTCTTCAAATGTTTCACGAAATACTTACCATCATGTTTGGTTACTGTTTAACATTTTGGTTTACTTCATGTAATAAAATAATAACTTCATGGTAAGGCTACTAAAAATGACAAGGCTAAGTAATGTAATGCTAACTAACGTGCTCGCTACTCGTCGCTACTAGCTAGGTAGCTAACTTGACTATGTTCCATGCACAACATGTATATTACCTATGATATTACCTGATATGTCTGATCCAGCGACTCCTGGTCCTTTCATCAGACGGGAATCGATAGAAGGAGCAAGTGGTATGATCACTTTTATGACTACAACCTGGTACAAAGCACACAGGCATCTTGTAAAAGTGAATTTATTTTTAGCGATCTATAATTTATTGGAGGGAATAAATCAGTTATGAGATCTTCTTCTTCTTCGCTTTAATTACGAGTCTTATTATAAATCACCGAGCATGCCTGTGACATCACTTACGCGACCCAGAATGGGATTTGGGATTTGTAGTCTTTGTAGTAGCGTATTTTTCATAGTCTTATATTTCAGCAGTTTTACGACAAAATGTGACTTTTTTGACATGGAAATGATTGTTTAAGATTGACAAACATCATATGTGTAGTTCGTGGCACAATTCAAACGGGATCAAAAGATACGTGTTCTCTCTCCATTGAATTCAATGTACATTTTTCGCTTCCGGGGTCCCATGGTCCGGAAGTAGATGGGCGTGACTTCGCCTCTCCATAAGAACGGGGCTGCTTCTCAGGTCGACTATTTTCATTTCCTCGCTCCTCGGTCCTCGGTCTCACCGGAAGTTGATTTGCCTGCGCCATCTTGAGTACCGTCCCATGGCTCTTATTTCTGCCGGAGGACCGAGGATCGAGGAGCGAGGAGCGATCATGGAGGAGCGATAACCGAGGAACCACCAGACCATCCTCCGATGAAATCCTCAGATACTCACCCCGCCCCCTTACTGTGTATCGCTCACTGATTGGACGAGGCAGTGCATGCACTGATCTGATGCTTCTTGACATGAGAGCAATACCCCAGCGGAGTGAAGAAAATACATGAACCCCACGGGACTCACTCCTCAGTTTATACTATTTTTTTATTCATTTATTGGAAACATTTTCATGATCGCTTTTTTCGTTTATACATTTTAAGAATGGCGTTTATCTTTTTTGAGAATGACTTCTTATTTTATTTCATGTATTTGGATCTACAACAGATGATACTAATGTTTATGTCAGTAAATGTGCACTAACAGAGGCGGGGGTGTTTGTGGAAATAACGGGTACAGAGCTGCTGCCAGACGAACAGCTGTGCAGCGTCATCACAAACGGACGTCGCTTCACGTGACGCTCCGGAGGAAAGGACGTCCCATTGCTCTTAAAACTCATTTCCCTGCTTCTCGTGGTTTCCTTGCGTCCCTCCATGCTTCCCTGGTGGGAGGGACTAAACGCAGGGAAACGACGCAAGTGAGGGAAGCAAGGATTTCATTTAATCGACCTGAGAAGCAGCCTGTGTCTACCCCGTCTCTACGTAGAATAACAGTAGCAACAAGAACCTGTGGGCTCACTTGCGCCCCCTTCAGTGCGGCAGAGGTTATGGCTGCCTCCCCTGGTGCTTTTTTCATTGCCGTTGTATGATGAGACCAGCGAGCCTAAATATCATACACGTGAAATAAGTTATTTAGAGACTATGGATGGCGAGGATAAATGTAATAAAGGGATCTACAAACATTACATTGGTGACATACAGTGAGATGGTGCAGGCATGTGCTTAGGGCCCGCTTTCCAGCCAGTTTCTGTGGGGTGACGCATTCTGAGGTGAGGCAGAGCTCATCTGTGCCTCACCTTACCACACAGTAACTGGCTTGAGCGCGCTCACAAAATAAGTGCCCGCGTTAAATTAGTGCCCGCGCTCCAGCCAGTTACTGTGGGCTTACGTGAGGCAGAGCTCGTCCCTGCCTCACTTCTCATCGCTACCCGTAGTTGTAGCGGAGGAGCTCTGCAAATTTGCTGATTTTGACTATAAAAAGCGATTGGAATCATACAGAAATCACATTTACAAGTTACAACACAGATCAGTGGAGACATTTTATTATTATTACTATTTAGTTTTTCTTTAGTTGTTTTTCCGTTACATTGGAGTATGACAGGTGAGGCTCTGCCTCCCCTGCCTCCCCTGACTGCACGTCGCTGGTATACAGTATACAGTATTGTAGCGAGCCCTGAGTTCAGAGGAAGGGGCTTGCATAGGGGAGGGGGGGGGGGGGGGTTGGCAGGGAAACGGGGTTCAGTGGGAGTGGCTGTATCCGTAGGAAAAGGGGGAAGTGACGTCTGACTCAGAGGTCGCGCAGCTGTGGAGAAGAACGTGTTGCCCACATTCTGTTACTGAGTTTAGGCTAGTTAGCTAGCAGGTTTATTGTTTTGGGTGCAACATTAAAATCACTAAATATATGCTGTAACTATTTTGCTCTAGGCAACTCAAGGGCTCAGGTAATGTGATTACCATATGAATAATTGTCCAAAATAACATTAAATGCATAGGGTTTTTTGTTAAGTAACATACTTTCGTGGCCAGCGGCCGATACATGCCGCGCATTAAGTGGGCCTGTCTGTCAATTAATCCCTGGGCCACTTTTTCCCCCCAGTCCGCCCCTGAGTCGCAGAATATACTTCAGCGGATTATCAAAACAGCGGCCCGGGGTGCAAAACGCATTAATGACAGCGACCCTCTACCACTCAAAACAACACCATTTATATAAACACCTATCATGACAGGGCACCCACAGCCAAGTAACAATTAAAAATGAATTAACTCAATCTTGAAAATGACTTGGTTAATAATTTCGCAAAGATGTCATCACTCATCACTATCACTGACATGAGCCATCATGAACGAACTGATGCTAATCATAAATCTATCAATTAGATTTAAGATTCAAAAATAATAAAAGTAGGGTAGACATGTGGATATTATCCGGCTGAACAAAACGTGCATTTATCTAACAGGTTCGTTTTCCACAGACCTTATTTCAAGCTATTTTCCAACAAGCTCTCCCGTCTTCACATAACTCACAGAGACGACATTTAACCCTTCACATTCCAACAGAAACTGAACTGGCAGATTCGAAGGATTTTTTTCTTTGGAAATGTTATTTTAAATCAAGTTATTTAGGTAAAACTAATGACAAATATAATAAAAAATATATTTAAAAAATATATATATCATTCAAATATGATATTTTAGAATATCTTAGGCCCTCAGAGAGAGCCTAGAGGGCCCTGACGGCTCGCCACTGCTCAATCAAAATAATGAACTAGTAATCCATGCTTAATTGACCCTATGTTTTTTTTAGAAAGGGGCAGGTCATATAAGATTGTATTCTTCTCCCTGCTCCTTTTCGCTCAATGGTGTGTTTATAGAGACATGTTTTGTTGGCAATTATTGTACATTTGGGTATGCGTACCATGAGCGGGACAAATACAAATGAAACAAAACTAAATTAAATATGTAGCCCCGAACCTTTTCCCACATCCGGTTAAAACGCTTGATTTTTATTTGGGATAATTTACAGCTACACAGCACCAATGGATTGGTTTTAGAGAACCACACAAGTTATCTTTTAGTGGCTGGCAGGATGACATATTTCAAATGGCCCAGCATTTTGTATGAGCACATTTGTATTAACTCTGTAGTGTCTCTTGGTGTAGATGGCACCGCTAAGATAACCTACAAAACTACAGAGCACATCGACCTATCCGACTCCATATAACCTCATGTTAACAGTTTATAATAACTCTCACTGCCAGAAGTGCTATTTGGCTATTGCACTAAGCGAACGTTAGCTATCTATCTATCTAACAAGTTGACTAGCTATCAGACTAGCTATCAGACTAGCTATCAGACTAGCTTGCTAATGTAAGCTATCTACCTAACAAGCTAGCTAGTGAACAATAGTTATCTTGCTATCAAACTAGCTTGCTAAGCTATCTCTCTAAAAAGCTAGCTGAACACGAATCAATAGATTAATTTCGTGACTATAACACAAAATGCCGTGAGACTGGGTTGGGCCATGTGGAGTCTCTCGAGAGCAGATGAAGCATAAAGTGAATATCTTAACACTGTCTAAATGTGTCTAATCATTATATCCCCTCTCACATCACAGCACTGCAGAAGAAGGACATATCGCTCTGTTGACAGCCAAGATCAGCTCCATCCCGTCACCATTGGACCAATCACGTTCGAGTAATACATTAAACTTGGTAACGTGGAAGATATAAACTAAAGTTACATTTCCTTTTTCATTTTCATTTTGGACCTTAGGGGATAATTGTAAAATGATAATTGAGTGAGCCGATGATGATGTATTTATTCCGATGTATGATTTCAATCATGTTTAATCTCATGTAGAATTAGTCTCCTTGATTTTATTATCAATAGTTGTAAACCCTGATTTTGATATATTCATTTGTTCATAGAGGATAATCTTAGTACCATGACTAGTGTTAACTGTGATGGTTATTCTCGCGTCCAGGAAAGAGAAGCTTAAAAAGGAGACTAAATGGAGTCTCTGAGATGTTTTCAAATTGGTACTTTAATTAATAAAAAGCGTGGTACAGTCACAAACAGGATATTGTCCGACAGGAAAACAGCTGTCTCTGGCTCTCGCTAGCAGAGAAAAGAGGCCGAACCGCTCAGGTGCTGCTCTTATATAGCTTCTGTAGGCTCCTCCCTGCGGGCCGGCCCTCCACATCTTAATGTCCGTTGTTACGTTTAAACAGAGGATTCAGGCATTGTACATTCAATACATACTTAAACACGCCTCTTCTCCTCATATTGTCTTTCATCACTTTTCCTTTAACACATTCTAAACGTTGTAGTTAATATTCTAAAAAATACAGAAAATACTTCACGGCTGGTTTGGTTTCTGGTCATTCCGGAAGTTGTCACATCTTACCCACGTCTGTAAACAATAACTTTATTCAAATAAACTATACCTTCATTTAATATTCAGCAATAATAATACTTCTATAGTTGCAGTGTTAAAATCAGTAGGTTTCGGTGTGCATCACTCCATGTCATTTCGCTACTAAATTAACCTCTATAAGAAATGGTAAACTAGCCACATGCTAACCGGAGATGAAGGATTTTCAGAATAAAAGCTTAACTGGTTGTGCACAATAATTTTCTGGTTTTTCAGTATAAAACAGCATTTAAACTGAAGGTACATTTAAGGTACATTATGCCATCAAAACATTGATTTTAATTTCTAACACTAGCCGTCTGTCTTTCTGCTCGTAGTGTGTTTCCTGCGGAGCAATTTTAAGCCGTTTGCAGTTTTACAACAATATCATGTTTTTACTTCGATCACCAATCCAATCCAACTTCAGTTGGTGTATATGATATAATATTTGTATTCTAATGACCTGAGTGTTAAGGTAACTCATCTACAACACACCCTCTGACGTCCTACCTGTCACTGCATTGTGTAGGCTATGATTAAAGATGGTTCTGTGTGAGCTAAACAACAACAAGATTGTCATGTCTTACCTGTAGGCCTAATTGTATTTTCTGTTATAGAATTTCTAAACTTATTTTATCCCGATGTATGTCATTTAATTTCTTGAAAACTTGAAATCTGGTTGTTCAGTCAATAAGTAGCCCACATAATATTTAAGATAATATAAGATAGAACTTTATTTATCCCCACGGGGAAATTGAGGTGTTTTAGCAGCAACAAGGTCAGAGTGAAAAAAACAGGATTCACACAAGGTACAAAATAAAGATAAAATATAATACAAATACAAATAATTAAAAAAATATTAAAGAATAAAGTGATCAAGTGATATAGTAACTGTTGATTTAAATGGACATATACATATTTGTATTGTTAAATATATTTACATAAATGTTCAGATATGAGCGCAGGTTTAAAGTCAACACTGCAGGTAAAAACATATTTCATATACTCCTGTGTGAAAGAAAATCTTAAATTATCTATCCTCATTAAATTAAGAGCGTAAGAGTGAATAAATAAATGAGTTAATACAAAAAGAAAATCCTGCATACTGCTGTTGGAAAACACAACAAATTATTCACCCTTTATTATGCAGAGAGAAGCCTTCCCTGAGCTGTAATCACTTTTGTATTTTAATCAATATTAAAACTATTCATCTATAAACTCATCATGGATATACCTTATATTACTTATACTAAAGCATAACAAAATGTCCCAATTTGGGATCAATAACGTACATCTTATCTTATCTAAAAGGAAGGAACTGAGAAGGCCTGCCCCCTTGTGGACTGAAAGGTGTATTGCATGCTTTGATATGACTGCTGGGTTTGATGTTTGATGCCCATACTGCTCCCTAGTAGAATATATACCTGAGGTTTTTTTTTTGTGTGAACTAATTACAGTTTCCATCCAGAGCACTGTGTGTATTCTTCGAACTGATACATTCTAAATGCATTTCCATTTTCAAAAAACATGTATTTTTTTAAAGAAAACAGGTAATTTTTGACACAGCTGATCCTCTACACCAGGGGTGGCCAACCCGCGGCTCTCGAGCCGCATGCGGCTCTTTGCCTAGTTTCATGCGGCTCTTCAGTTCATATCGAATTTTATATGTGTGAGTTTGGGGGAGAGACACTGACTCCTGACTAGTGTTGCACGGTGTACCGATACTTGAAAGGTACCGCGATACCCTGCCGTTAAAAACGTTACGATTCCTCCGTTTCATTAGTATCGGTACTTTAAGAATAACGGGGGAAAGTACTCCGGTGAGAAAGCGCCGTTTTAATAAGAGCCGTGTGTGTTCAGCGCTCTGCTTCCACTCCCTGCACTGCAGCCGTGCCTGCAGTCCCGCCCCTCTCAAGCACGCTCTAAGTCCCTCCCCTCTCAAGCACGCTCTAAGTCCCTCCCCTCTCAAGCACACTCAAGTGCCTCCCCTCTCTCGTGCACGCTTTAGCTGCCAGAGCATGTGAGAAAACGAGAAGCATGGCTGCAAGTGGGAGTGCAACTGCCGCTGCGCTTCGGCTTGTTGACAAGAAAGACGCCAGAAGCGAAATTTGGAAGTATTTGAGCGATATCTCTGACAGTGAGGGCAAGCCTACGGACACCACGAGGCCTGTCTGTCAGACATTTATTAATTTGATTTAATACGAATTCTTGTCATTTATTGTATTTATTGTTCTCATTGTTTAAAAGTGTGTGTTATGGTTATGGTTCTGGTGTGAAATAAAGCACAATAATTACATTTAAGACTGTTTCCCTTTTTTAAAGAAAATATCGAAAAAGAATCGGAATCGCAATTCTTGACTTGGTATCAAAACCAAAATGTTGGTATCGTGACAACACTAGCTACTCCTGACAGTTAAACCTGATATTTAGTAGGTCTGTTAAGTATTGAATGCTGATAATTCTGACGTAATTTGGCCGGTCAAAGTTGTTTGGCCTCGGATAAAATCGCTCCGTTACTTTCGTCCCGTGTTATGTATGTGGTGTATGTGTGGTGTCAGTATGAGAGGATGACAGCGCGTATAATTTGTATGTGGCCCAAGAGCCAATCACAATAATACCTGCGATGCAGTGAAACAATCACCTTTGAAGGGGGGAAAACCTATCGTTGATTAAACATTATCCAGTGTTTCCCCTACCATTGTCTTGGAGGGGCGCTGCGCCCCGCCAACGGAGCCCCGCGCCCCGCGCCCCGCGCCCCGCGCCCCGCGCCCCCCCCTGAAATTCAAGGTGTTTAAAAAAATATATATATAATTTTTTTTTAAAATATATATATATAGCACCAAATTGCAAATAATCTATAACTACTGTCACTTTTCACATTGAACATGTGCTCTTTTATTAAATAAACTAAACACTTTCATTTTAAGTTGTGAGTTTTGTTTTTGACCCTAAGAAACACTGATGCATTATTCAATAACAATAATCCACAGCTCCTCTCTGCTCCAGAGGATTTAAAAAATATATATCCCAATGCCACAAAAATGCATCAGTGACGTGGTTGAAATCTTGTCTCCAGAAAACAAAAAACTGAAACAAGCGGTATCAGTGACTGTGTGTTTGATGTGGCTCTTTGAAGTAACATAGAAAAAATGTGGCTCTTAACCTCTGACTGGTTGGCCACCCCTGCTCTACACATTAAACTGTCAACCATATACCATGATAAATGAGGAAATTAATTGGAATTACTTCTACAGTGTCTACAACTGTTTCCCTCTACTTGACCTGAACCAGTCCTTATCCCTATCCCCAACCAGCTATCTCTGTGAGGCCTAACCTATCCTGAACCCTAATGCAGGTTTGTGATACACTGAAAGCACTTTTATACTAATAAAGGACTGGCTTTTCTAAAGCCAGTTGAGTAGCACTTGAAATGTTTTTGCTCTATGAAACCTGATGTACTTTTATGATTCTGTTTTCTGCAAGTTGTATTTTGTTGGACGAACGCACTTATTGTAAGTCGCTTTGGATAAAAGCGTCAGCTAAATGCAATGTAATGTAATGTAATGATACAAGGACTGGGACACTACTGAAAAGGGGGAGTGTCAAAAGTTGTTTCACTGAGAAAACAGACTTTATCAAAAGCTTAAAACCAGTGGTGCCAAAATAACAAATCCACAGTCTACAATCTACAGTGCATAGATGCGGCGGACAGACAGGTCTCAGTTGGTTTGGTGTCTTATGCATACTTGTAATACTTTTGGCCCGTAATTTCAATTCCCCATTTCAGCGACCAGAGAGGGGGGGGGGATATATATCCTGTCTCTGATTGTGTTACGTTATTATGAGAGTGCTCTCATACTTGTTTGATTCCATAACCGTGGGACTAATAACCTATTTACCTGGCCTATCTTCAGACTCATAATGGTTCCATAAAAGGCTCAACATTAACATAAAGAAGAGGACAAGGTTCACCACCAAACAGGAGACACACATAGAGAATAGCAGGTGAATAAAGTGGAGTATTAAGCAGCCAAAGAGAAAAATATTTACCTCAGGAGTTGGTAGAGAAAAAATAGACTACAGAAACCGATAACAGCAGTGTTTTTCGTCATGATAGAGATACAATTATCTTTAACATATGATTATATTCACCTTATGACTGTATTTATTCTGTAGCCTATTTGTATTTGTCTGTTATCCACTCATATGTCTCAGAGTCCTGTATATCAGTGGTTCCCAACCTCGCCAAAGATCGCAGGGGAGGCGGCAGGCCTCAGATGATTTCAGGCCAAATATCATATTCATATTCTTTTTTTTTTACATATAATTGTAACACAATACATGATTGTCACTAAAAGCCTTGTCTCTACATTACAATAACATGTAAAAAATAATTGATTAATTAATTTGAATAAAAATGCAAGTTAGTATTAAAGGCATAAAAAGACAGAAATGTATAATTCTTTCTTTAATAGAAATGTTTCTTCCGCCCGTAAAGTGTCCAAACCGGGCTTGTCTGGATAAG